AAGTTACTTTAATTAAAAACAAAACAAAACAAAAAACCCATAAAACACAGAAACTGTAGATTTTGCTTTGCCTTATGTACAAATGCAGACTTCCTAAGTGTGTAGGCTTCCAATTATTTATATATTTTAATTATTTGGTTTATCACTCAGTCTTTCCTCTTCAGTGCTTGTGCTCTTTTGTTATTTTATTTCTTGGTCTTGATAAAAGAAGTAGGAAGACAAAAATAAAGCAAGGGAATAAAATACATGAATTTTTTTCTTGGTTAGCATCTTTTTTTCTTAGTTGAATTGATGATTTACTAATGATTTAAGTAAAATAGTAAAAACAGGCATCAAAAGGCTACTGTTTAATGTAGTCTTACTAATTAAATTGATTTTTTTCTGAAAATTGATCTAAGCAATTAGACATCTGTTTAGTAAAACTCAATTCATATATTGTGGATTTTTGTAAGATACTGCTACACACACACACACGAATCCCAAAACACAAAACAATGATCTATATATTTTTTAATTTAGAAAAGGTCTATAAAGAATGAATTTTGGACAAATGAAGAAACACTCAAAGGGGAATCACCTACTGCAGGGAACTCTTTTATCATCAAATCAAGGTATGAGGTCATGATTGATGATTAATTCTTTAGAATAAACTGTTATAAAATGTTTTCATTCATAGTATAATATTGTATTTCTAAGAAAATAGCTTATATTGGTAAGTTGAAATCTTTCCTTTCTAAATCAATTTTAATCATTGAAATATTAAATTCAATTCTGTGAATTAAATATACCGTTATATTCTGTGGCAGATTATTTTTTGTCTTTCCCTAATTGAAACCACTCCCCCCCTCCAAAGTAGCAACTATGTGGTGACGATGATTACACATTAAAGATGAGGATCTTTTTTGATATAAAGAAGAAGGGGCAATGCAAAATATCACTGTATGAGTTGTGGAATTTTATAAATATAATATATCCTTTTCGTTAGGGATTCACAATTGTCTACTTATTTCGATCACATGTGAATGTGTAGACACCAACTTAAATTTTATTTTTCCCTCAGCTTTTTTGGAACTTGGCATACTGGATCATTACCTGACATTCACTTTATCTTCTATTTATCTTTCATTTTCCAAGGCTAACACTGTTGTAGGTTTCCATCAGTTAAAGCTAAATAATACCTTGAATATCTTCAGTAAGCATTTGATATGAATCTATTATGATGCAAAATATGGAAGGGCCAGCATACATTATTCTTTAAGCAAGTAGTGGTTTTTAGAACTCTGTGTCCAGAAAGATATGATATGACTCCAGGCATATCTGTTTCATTGATTAGCAAAACAAATTCTTGTAATGAGTTTTAATTTACATAAATGATGGAGCGAATCTATTATGTCATTCCTTAAATCTGTAGGAATATGCTTAGCAATTATGAATGTGTTGCAGTAAATATGACATTAAACAGCTTTTACCTTCTGGGTGTACAATGACCCTTTCTTGTTTTCTAGCTGGCGATGTGCTGCAGTATTTTTCCTCATTAGCACTGCAAAACAATATTGACGCTCTCAACAGTCAGACATACTCTTGGTTTTATTATATTATGGTGGAACATAGGGTCCTTGGAGTTGATTAGAGAGGGGACAAGTTGGAAATAAGATCTCCACACAGATAAGTTAGTGGTTCATGATGTTGCCCAGAGAATAGAGGTGGGGCTGGCCACTTAATTGTGCTATTGAAGATGTTTAAATTATGATGCAAAGAATATGGCTAATCTCTGTCCTTACCACCTGCACTCAACCCTCCAAAATAAAAGTGACCAGATTAAATTATACATAAGAAAAAAAAAGAGTTTTAGTGGTGTCCAAATATGCCATAGAATAATAAAAGATTTCTACTTAATTTTTCTGGAAGAAGTTTACAAATTATCAGATGGGTTAATTAAACTCTAAGATTTTCTTGGCCTTAAATTTTGGTTATTATCAGTTATTTATAAATAAAATAAATGTCACTGATGTTTTAAGTCAGATATAGCACTTTGAAATGTTAACACCATTATTTTCCATTTAGCATATATGATAACAGGAAGGAGAAAATAAGTGAAGACAAAGTGGAAGATATTTGGATACCTCGAGAGGACAAAAACAATTTCCTGATAGACTCTGCTTCCGAATCAGAATACTCAACAGTAGAAGAATGCTTTCAGAGTTTAAGAAGAAAAAATTCAAAGGCGTCTAAATCTAGGACTCAAAAAGTGTTGAATTTGGACCCTGTTAATAGGCACAGTTATCCGTTAAGCTCAACAAGTGGAAATGCTGATTCATCAGCCGTTTCCTCAAACTCAATATCTCCGTATGCCTGTTTCTATGGATCATCTGCAAGGAAGGTTAAATCGGGGTGGCTAGACAAACTCTCTCCTCAAGGGTATGTATTTGTGCATTTCATAAATGGCATATTTTCAGGTTTATCTATCTCTAAGCCTACCACTGCAACCTGTTACCTACACACACACACATGCAGTTTTTAGGGACTTTCAGTACACTTGCAAATGCTATTCTCTAGGCATAAGGAGAGAGATGTGCAATGCAACGCTGCATTAAGGTTCTCAATAGCAAATTAAAATGCAAAGTTATGAACTCAGACCTATATTCTTAATGTTACTTTCTAACTTCACACCAAAATGCACTATCCTGCCTCCCAATATGTAGCAAAGAAAAACAACATAGACTGAGTTAGTATTACTCAGCCTATACTCTTTGGCTTTTGCTCATATCATAATAGTGTTCTGTTTGAGGATACAAGGCTTATTGTAGTTAGGAAAAAGTAAGTCATTTTTGGATTTAGATCTTCACTGTTATTGATATATTGTTTTGATTTTTTGTATGTTGCACAGAAGGTCAGAATATTATACTTTTCAAACAGATTTATCCTTTCAGATGTTTACAAAGAAACTTCTGTCCCTTAGGCATTTTACAGTACTGAGACATCTTTGGGGAGGGATTATGTTTAATTAGAATTGTTTTCTGGCATCCTTCTTTTTGGATGTCATTTTGAAATATTTACTTGAAATGTTTCTCAGGAGTTATTAAATTATTTTGGGATTAAACTTCTCACGTTTAAGTCGCTAATGTGGCAAGCCACTACCGACATGCTGTTTCCTCTACTATTCCCTTGAAAACGTGCATCATTTCTAGAAATCCTTGGTTTGATCTAAAATAATTTGGCTAGCAAAAAAATTACCATAAAAAGCATTAGATAACTAGTGGGAGCAGCAATTACATTTCTTAAGAAAACAAAAATACCCCAAAACTTTTGTGGTTAGTAATACATTAATAATTTAAATATTTGCATCATTTTAGGAAATTTGATTTTGAATAAACCAATGCAGAATACTTCTTAGTATCAGTTATTTTGTGTCACTCCTTTCTGGTTACATTCTGATGACAAAATCATCTGCTGTGTGTATTGTCTGTTTTTATCAGTCATTGGTATTATTAGTAAATGCATATTCAGACATTAAAAGCATGAGTCTGTACTTGAGTCTGCACACCAGTGGAATGAAACAGCTTGAATATTCTGGAATCTTTCATTTATGTAAAAATCACATATTTTGGGAGATCTCAGTGCTTTCTCAAAGTGCTCCTGGAGGAATTAGCAGACCTTGGGTGTCGAGCCTCCAGCAGCTGTGGTTTCCTGCGTGATCTCTGGTGGTATCACGCTCTTTACAGGGTTGATCTGTTTATGCTCCAGGCACGTTGACGAAGCTTCACTATTACTGGTCCCCTCTGGGACAGTTAGAACATGTCCCTCTCTCTTTATCAGAACTTTGACTTTCCATTGTTTCTATTCAGAACCTAAGGTTAGATGCTATAAGTTTTCTAGATTTATATTTTTCCGTTTTAGGGGAAATAATTGAGTTTTCTGGCTTAAAGATTTTATTTTTGTTCTTTTCCTGGATACCAGGCTGAATGGAGATAGGAAAGTAAATAAAGGAGCTTGTTATATCACCAAGAAATTTAAAAACTCTTCTACATGATTATATTGCTGTGACTTGAAAGAAATATATGTAACTGGCCCCAAAGCATGCATTAGATCAGAAGTAGAACCTGACATTTTTCTTTTCCTGATTAGACTCTGTTGGCTATTGTCAGGGTGTTTAGATGCTCATTAAGTACACAAAGTAATGCCTACCCATTCCTTATGCAGAGGTTGCGGAGCCCTGTTTAACTCATGGCCCCATGTCCCTCTGGTGCAGGTAGCACTGATTGAAAGGGAATTCTTAATTCCATAGAGCAGGCGTCAACAAACTTTTTCTGTAAAGGGTCAGATAATAAATATTTTAAGCTTTACAGCCATATGGTCTCTGTTGCAACTATTTAGCTCAGCAGTTGTAGCACGAAAGCAGGCATAGATGATATGTAAGCCAGTGAATAAGGCTATGTTACAATAAAATATAGAGGCAATGAAAAGCAGGAGTTCTCCTTGGGGGCCTCTGTACTTGCTTCTCTTTCTGCCTGAAACGCTCTTGTCCCAAAGAGCAGCATGGCTTGGACCTCATCTCTCTCAATTCACGCTCTAATGTCTCCTTTCCATTTAGGCCCTAACCACCACATTTAACACTGCAGCTGTCCCTCTCCCCGCTCCCCCCTCACTCCTTGAGATATTTTCTTCTGCGGGGCTCCTAGGGCAGATGATCTATTTCTTTCATATAAGCTCCATGGGGACAGTCATCTACGTTGCTTTTGTTGTACTTTGATATCCTTTGTAGAACGTTGCCTAGCACATGGTGGATGCTTAGTATTTGCTGTTGAAAGAATCAGTAAAAACCTAGCATTAGACGTTATTTTTTCTTTTAATTTTTCTAAAACAGCTATTTAAAAAAAAACAGGACTTTGTAATGCAAATTGCTGAACTCAACAATAAGTTAGATGAAAATCTGTAGGTGCTAGTGATAGAGCTGGTATACATTAACGGAATAGCAAACTCAGTCTTTTTGATAATATGTTTCTTCCTTAAAGACATATACACGAATTATCAAAACACAGTTTTAAAACAACCACACTCCAGTTTATACTTTTTCATGTAGCTTTTGAAACTGTCTTTTGTTTAATGAGTGGTATTAAACAAAATAATTCATGATCTGAACTTACTTCACATAGTTAAGTGTCTGTTTGCTTTTGAAATGGAAAGGCCAATTCTGAATCAGTGCACAGTAGATGAAAACTGTTCAATATTTAGTTAAGAAAATAATTGTATAACATCATGCAACAAAAGAAATACTGAAACATTTTCAAAGTATGAAGTTATTTAAATATTTGAATAACCAAATATAATATGCCTAAGACTAGTGGTTTTAAAAATTGTGTGAAAGAAACTTGATGAAGTGTCAGAGTTGGGGCTGTTACCAGTGTTTCAAACAAGTCAAACAAGATGAAAAATTACTAAGTGATGCTTGCTTTTAATAACATCTCACTGATTTTTTGAGGATTTAAAAAAAATTCTTCTCCCCTAGCTTTTCCCAACTGTAATTAATAAGCTCAAGCTTTTCAGCAGATCTGTATAGATGTAAATATGAAAGACTAGATATAATTTACTTTAGTATTTCCCAAATATGTGACTCATAGAAGGAGTCCTGTAAATTGTTGTAAAGGAGAACATGGTTGAATATGCTGCCCCTTTTGTAGGAGACAGATAAATTGCAGTGTCCAAGTATATCTGCAACAAGGAAACCCTTTCGA